ACAAAGTCACCTACATCTTGGATGCCCTGGGGGTAAGCAGATAAACATCAAATTTTCATTTTTGGGTGAACTATCCCTTTAAGCAGTGATAAAGGCATTGCATTATAAATATACTTTATTTTAATGAAAATTATAATAATAAGAACTCCGATAAACCGTATATTGCCGTAGTCGTGTGTTTATTAGTTACGTTGAATCAATGAAAGCAGTTGATTCTTCTGTTTATTCAGCTGCAGCGATAGGCATTTTCTGGGTTTCTTCTGCGAGGCGTATTTGGAGTTTCAGCGCGAGAGCGCCCTCTGGCCTTTGGATGGAGATTTACTGCTGATCACAGAACCGTGCTTCACTGAAAGATACGCATGACAATCGCAGCTTCTGTCGAATCGCGATCTCGATTCCATTTCGATTTATCGTGCAGCCCTACTTCAAACCAAAGTTTGTAATTGTTGTGATTCACGTCAGAGCTGGTTGGTTTGGTTCATGGCTTCTAATTATAAGATTTATTTTAAGTAAATTATTAAAAGACAAATTAGGGAAAAATACTTTTGAAAACAAGGCCACTAAAAAGGTGGGCAGGCACTGTTGCACTGTATTTAATTAATGTTGACTATTTACAGTATTTAAGCAGTGTTGTAAGCTTGTTGATCAATAAGAATTTAAAAGGATAGTTCACCCAAAAATTAAAATTACACCATGACCAACACCCATTCACTGCCATTATAAAGCTTGGAAGAGCCTGGACATTTTTAATATAACTCCGATTAGATTCGTCTGAAAGAAGAAAGTCGTTTACACCTAGGACGGCTTGAGTGTGAGTAAATTATGGGGTAATTTTCATTTTTGGGTGAACTATCCCTTTAAGACTCAGCTGTATTCCTCCTGATTGATTTCAAAGTGAACTGGCTCTTTCTAGAGCCTAAAAATGCATGATATGCCTTTCTATCCGTCCAACGCTCTGTCAGGACAGTGTGTAAGGGCCTTTAATTGTAGAATTAAATGGGTTTGCAGTGAGTCACAGCTCTTAAAATGGCACATCCAGAGTTGGAAATATCCATTGTATAACTGAAAGTTGTCTGTAATGTTTAAAAAGTCTGTTCACGTCTTTGCATCCAGTGCCTCCCTTCCAAAACTCAGCGCACCTGCAGCATCTCAGCCTGCGACCACAAGTGTGACTCTGGGGGCTTCAGCTGCTGGGGCGGGCTTCAGTTTCGGAGGTCTCACCGCTCAGACTACTGCAACCCAGCAGCCTTTGGGGGGATTCGGCTTTGGGACGCCCAAAGTTCAAGCATCCTCAGCTGCCCCGGCACAGCCCACCCCTGCGCTCTCACTAGGGGCTCAACCCACAGGTAATACAGAGGGACACATGTCTTGACATCGAATTCAAAATGAGAGTTTTGTGGCTTTTGAGATCACTTTTTTTCTATTCTGCTAAAAGCTGACAATTTTGTCATCGTCTCCTGCTCTCTGAAATGATAATGCTCCTGCCACCGTCTAATGCAATACAACAAGGAGAAAGTAGCTCAGAGATACACACAAATAAACTAACAACCTACAATGTGGACACATTAATTCCAATGTTTGACTTTGACTTCAAAATAAAGGTTAAGCGACAAGGACAAGGACAATATGTCAGCAGCACAGAGCATGAAAACGGTTTCTCGAACCGTTTCACAGGGTCTTGAAAATTATTATTTTTTTCTCCACTTGGTGTTTGTTACACACACTGTATCACTTTATCACATTGTGTCAAACTGGTCCTTTAAGAAGGAAATATCTAAATATACAAATAAGCTTTTTTTTGTCTAATTATATTAATTTGTTTTGCTGCTGATTTATAGGTCTGACTCTTGGAGCTTCTACTGCTGCCTCCACAGCCCCAACAGCTGCATTTAACTTTGGGATTAAAACTTCAGGTGTGTAGTGTGGCTATTCTAATATGTGACCCTGGAGCACAAAAGCAGTCTTAAGTCGCTGGGGTATATTTGTAACAATAGCCAAAAATACATTGTATGGGTCAAAATGATCAATTTTTCTTTTATGCCAAAAATCATTAGGATATTAAGTAAAGATCATGTTCCATGAAGATATTTAGTAAATTTCCTACTGTAAATATATCAAAACTTCATTTTTGATTAGTAATATGCATTGCTAAGAACTTCATTTGGACAACTTTAAAGATGATTTTCTCAATATTTAGATTTTTTTGCACCCTCAGATTCCAGATTTTCAAATAGTTGTATCTCAGCCAAATATTGTCCTATCCTAACAAACCATACATCAGTGGAAAGGTTATGTATTCAGCTTTCATGTGATGTATACATCTCAATTTAAAAAAATTGACCCTTATGACTGGTTTTGTGGTCCAGGGTCACATATGAGAAAAACTGGCAAAAGAGAACAATAGTTATATAATAGATCTTTTGTTGTTGTTCAGCCACCCCAGCTCCTATCAGCTCTGCACAGAGTCAGTCCATGACAGCTCCAGTGTCCTCTCTGTTTGCTGCTCCTATAGCCTCAACACCAGCCACAGGATTCACATGTGAGTTCTGTTCACCTCTTGTAATGAAGAAACTTCCAGTTCAGTCAAATTCTCAAACCAAGCCATCTACTAACAAATCTGCTTTAACGGCACATCTGCATTTATGTATTTGCAGGCTATGTTATATATAATAAACACACACACACACACACAGTGGCAAGTATAGGTTTAGTTATAGACAAAAACAATCTGTCTAAGCTAATTTATAGTTTTCAAATTTTTATTTTAGACTATGATTGGTCATTGACAGGGCAGGTGGGAAAAAGTAAGTAAAATTCTGTTATGGCTTCTCCAAAAGCCAATAGGAGTAAATTAAGAAATTGTGATTGGAAGTGTGGGTCACACAGGTGCGACACACAAAGCATTGTTACTTACAAATCTGGTCTTGTTAAGAAAAATCCATGCCTTGATTGCAAAAGCTTAAACACATTTTAAAGCTGCTAAAGACTTGGGTGTGCATGAATCCATGGTAAGAGAACCTGCCTACAAATACAGAACATTCTGGACTGTTGGTTTTCTCCCTATGAGTGCACGTCCTGCAAAGATCACTCTTAAGAACACAACGAACAATACTGAAAGAGAGGCCAGAAGCAACCCAACAACAGCAAAAAAATCCTCCAGGAAACTCTGAAGACTGCAGAAGTCTTTGCTCATGTGTCCACTAGCAGTAAAACACTTAAAGGGACAGTTCACCCAAAAATGATAATTTGCTGTTCATTACCAGTTCACCAAATCGGACTGAACCGTCTGAAACAGGGCGCGGCTCTAGCTGCCCACAGATCTATAAGTTACTCAATCAAAACTCAAAAATGATGCGGAGTTTTGCGCAGCGCAGAGTAACGCATCGTGTGTGTGTGTGTGTGCGCGTGTGTGTGTGTGTGTGAGAGGGTTAGGGGAACAGGGTCACATCACAGGAGAGTGAACTGCTGTCAGAAATCATAGCACGTCAGCTGTCTTAACCGCGGCTTGTGTACTGCATCATCACTGTGTCTGTCACGCGACTCTGTTGCCCTTTCGGGCTTGAACTGATGGTAAAGCCGGCGATTATGGTAAGGGGCGTTACATTTCCGACGCGTGCTTGTTGTGTTCGGCCAATCACAATGCACTGGTTCAGCTGGCCAATCAGAGCAGACTGTGCTTGTCAAAGGAGGGGGCTTTGTTGAAAACGACGTGTTTGAGAGAGGCGGGGCATAGAGGAACTACAATAATGTACAGTATTTGAAAAATAATGTGTTTTTTGTACATTAAAGCATGTCAACATATTCTGTTACACCAAATACACCAAATAATGATCTTTAAAATAGCATCATATGACCCCTTTAAAGCTGTCAGGCTATGGCTTTCTCAAGACAAATTAAAGTTTTTCTACAAACTTTTCTATTTTGCGGTTTCTTTCTAAATCAAGTGGTTTTAGCTGTTTTTTGTTAAAGGGTTAGTTCACCCAAAAATGAAAATTCTGTCATTAATTACTCACCTTCATGTCGTTTCAAACCCGTAAGACCTTCGTTCATCTTCGGAACACAAATTAAGATATTTTTGATGAATTCTGAGAGCTCTCAGACCCTCCATAGACAGCAAGGCAACTGAAATGTTCCCAGACAGAAACGTAGCAAAGAGATCTGTAAAATAATCCATGTGACATCAGGGGTTCAACCATAATTATACGAAGCTACGAGAATACTTTTTGTGCGCAAAAGAAAAAAAAAATAACGACTTTATTCAACAATTTGTCTCCTCTGCATCACCCTAGCGCCATTTTGGAGAATATCAGCTGGACGTAAACAGCGTATGCTATTCTGTATCAGCTGCGCCACGCGGATACGCTGTTTACGTTCAGATCAAATCACAACAACGTAGGAAACAGATCCGGCGTGACGGAGCTGACATTTTTTTAAAAAGACTGAAAATGTTGCCATCCATACAGTAAGGAATCTAAAGCATACCTTAACTGTAATGAGCAAACACAGTTAACAAACCATCAAGTTTTAGCTCATGGAAATTTCTTTCTTCATTTAAGTGGTTGCTTTTGTTCTTTCTTTCTCTTTGTTTTTGTTTTAAATATTCACTAATTGCAAAGTAACGAAAGTTAATTGGACAAAGGTGTGGGAGCTCTCATTTGAACGATCATTTAGGACTGTTCTAGAGAAATCATCACGTGGTCTTTTCTCTCCTCTGCCAGTGGGCTCCTCGATGGCCTCGGTGGCTCCTGTGGTGAGCTTAGCATCCAACGCTCCCACAAGCCTGTCCCTGAAACCTCTAGGAGCCGCCGCTCCTGCTATAAGCACAGGTGCCCTCACTTATTCTCACTCACTGGCTTTGCTCATTAATACATGCTGAACAAATAATTGAGGCCAATATATAATGTTCCTATCAGTTACTTGTATTATTTGAGAGGGTGTGTTTGTGTCTTTAGTAGCTGCTGTTAGCACTGGAGCTACTACTGGCTTTTCTCTGGGACTGAAGACTGTAGCATCTATTGCACCAGCCATCACCACCTCAACTGCCATCGTCACAACCAGGTACAAAGCTTTTCACATTCAAGACGTTGTGTGTTTTTTCTAGCGTCGAGTTGCATATCCAAATTCTTGTGTGGTCTTCTGTCAGCACTGCTCCAGTGATGCCATACGCTCAGCTGGAGGCTTTGATTAACAAGTGGAGCTCAGAACTAGAAGACCAAGAGCGACACTTTCTTCAGCAGGCCACTCAGGTCAATGCCTGGGACCGTATGCTGGTGGAGAATGGAGAGAAGGTAGAGAAATACACTCCAGGGCTCGCAAAATCGCTAGCCCGACGTCCCGGGGCTATTGTGTTTTCCAGTCGGGCTACCAAATGTTTCACCGCCCTGCCCGACGGGCTGTCTTGAACAGTGATATAAAATCCCTTCCTTGATTTGCGTTGTTCACTAGCTTGTAGGGGTTAAACGTATCGTAGTTGATCGTTTGCACGTGTTTCAAAGTCTAGCCGATTTAAACATTCAAGTGTTTTAAACCACTCGCGCGCATTCGGAGCTGCGCGCACTCATTCAAAGCGCGCACAGAGAGCCGTGTTTCAGACAATGCGCATACACAGAATTGATTCCTCTTTCGCGTATCCTTGCATCTGAATGAACACATACACACAAACTTATCTCAAAATAACTTTCTGGGCAAGTATTCTCGTAAACACAGTCGGGTATGTCTTAAGTGAACGTAAACCGTGGAGAAAGAAATCTCAAGTGCATCATTATATTGGATCCGTGCATTCGGTCTTAAAGGGGCAGCAGCCTATAAAGACCCGCTGTTCCATAAGCGCCACCTGCTGTCAGAAAGTGACATCTGCGTCTCATTCACAAAGCTAAAATCAGACCATTCTGCTTTTGCTTCAAATTTCGAAATTATACAATCTAATTGCAATCTAAATAACATGTATTTATGTGTTTATATGAAGAGATTTATTTTATTTGTATTTAATTCTTTGATTTGGGATTTGTTTAAAAATTTCAAGTTAGTTTTATTATTTGACATTTCAATTTCACAAAGAAATGTGCAGCATTTTGTTGGAGAAATAATAAAAGGACACCTTTTCATTTATAATTTGTCTTAAATCTCATTTTGTTAAAAAATAAATTGTGAGAAAGGTTACTCAAAATCTGATATGATAGTGCAATATGATCCGAGCCGTGGGTTTTGTGATCCGTTGCACCCCTCTTGACATCTCTTGACTTGTTATTTGAAGAAAAAAAGCGATCACTGAAGTTTTTAATCATGCTGATTTGTCCTCAGTGGAGTTCAGCCGATGTCTTTTTTAAATTTTTTATTTTTTTATTCGGGCTACCAAAATCTGAAGAATGTCTGCCCGAAGGGCTACCAGCGATTTTTCAATTTTGCGAGCCCTGCACTCATCTTTTAGTACACTGTTTTCTGTTTAGTACACCGTTTTTAATCAAGGCTTTGTTGGCACAGCATTCTTGCATTGCACCTGTTTCTGAGAAGAGCAAGTACACAACGTTTTAAGATGAAGAGGTGCTTTTTGGATTTCAACTGTGATACTAATGTGTTCACCCACAGAAACGCACTGCTGCTTTTTATATAACACATTTCCCATTGTGAATTATGATTATACAGCTTGGTTTGTTGGGTTGGATTGCTTTCTCAATCACAAAACCACCTTAGGACACCCAGTGTTACTGTCCAGTGTTACTGCCTAAAACCATATTGCAACAGATTTCCAGTGACAAGTAATCTTTTTGTTTTCTTCTTTTAGATAACTGCTTTACATAAAGATATGGAAAAAGTCAAACTGGACCAACGAAGGTAATCGATTATTTGCTTGCTGGAAACATGTTATTTTAATGTGGCATTTGTGTTTTCTTGCATTGGTAACAAGCCTCCACAAGCTTTCATGGTTGCAGTTGCCAGATTTCAAGAGTTTAAATCCCCCAATCAGAGCTTTTTTTCATAAATCGATATGTTTTCTGGCCAGTGGTTGACTTAATCTTTCCAAGCTGAGATTCTGCTCAAATATAAGTGTAATACAGGCGGTCTGTTTTCTGTCACATGGCTGTTTGCACTCTTTGCTCCAAATCTGTGAACAAACCATGCGTGTTGACATTCTCTTGGTTTGTGCTTATGTGAAAGTGAGGGGAAAAAATGACTTTTTTTTTTTTTTTTTTTTTTACAAAATACCGTGTTTAACCATTATTGTGCAGCCTTAATTAAAAGTGAAATAAGAGAAACTGGCCCAGCAGAAAATGTTGGTTGCCTGTGGCATCAGTCAGTTATAGTTTAGTGTTAATTATACAAACTTATTTTGACTTCAGCGATTGACCAGTCACAGTCAAGTAACTTCAGCATGAACTAAACAGTCTTAAGATATTACCAAGCATGCTTGTATACTGTCTGTTAACATGTTTGATGTACACTTTCTCATATTTTGGTGTTTGTAACACAGGTTGGATCAAGAACTGGACTTCATCCTGTCCCAGCAGAAAGAGCTGGAGGATCTTCTTGGTCCATTAGAGGAGTCTGTGAAAGAACAAAGCGGAACCATTTACATGCAGAACGCAGACGAAGAGCGAGAACGAACGTAAGAGCAAAAACAGGCAGGACTCTATCAGCCATTGAAGGAGCTCATATTGCCCTCCTATACCGTGATGTTATTGAGTATTTGAATGATCTCTTTCATCCAGGTACAAGTTGGCAGAAAATGTGGATGCTCAACTCAAGAGAATGTCCCATGATCTGAAAGAGATTATTGAACACCTCAACACCTCCAGCGGACCTGCTGACACCACTGACCCGGTATGCAAAATACGATCGATGGTCCAGACAGAAACGCTCTTTACGAATTGTCGTGTGATCTGGACTAAGAATGACTGGTGTTGTTTTTCAGCTTCAGCAGATCTGCAAAATCCTCAATGCACATATGGACTCCCTGCAGTGGGTGGAACAAAACTCTGGTTGGTATCCTTTTGACACACTAAAAAAATGCCAGTCCATTAAACGCTTGATTAAATGGTAGCTTGTATACTTAGCATATAGTTTTTCTGTGCAGTTTTACTCCACAGGCGAGTGGACGAGGTCTCAAAGCTGTGTGAAAGCCGCAGCAAGGAACAAGAGAAGAGCTTTCGTTTAAACTTCCAGTGATCACGCAGCTCTCTTTTTTTCCTCAGTCAGTTGTAAATGAATGTCATTGTTTTTATTTGCTTCAAAATAAAATAATTTCTTTCTACCCGATTTCCTCGTGATGTGCTTTGTTATTCAAAATTCATATTGTTTGCACTTTGCAAAATGATCATGGCTTTTTCTCAGTTTAGTGATCGAGAAATTCAGATAGAAAAGCGGAGACATTTTTAAAGATATCAAATGAACAATACATCTGCAAAGAAGGGAGTTTCTCTTCCTGGTTAACGCTTAAGCGATAAAAAGAGCCAATCAGCTGCATGGAGCTCCACCATAGCAACATGGATCCTAGCATTGATTAATATCAAACAATCTTAGCCTAAAAAAAAGAAATCTCCAAAAAGAAAAATAATATTTTATAGAAGGTTGCATGTTTAAAAGGGGACGAAATGAGCACCGCCATCCGCAGGTATGTGCACTACCGAGAGTGCGGCTGCATGCGCCGGAGAACAGCATCGTCCCCTCCACATGCATGCAGTCTATGTAGCATGATCCGCGAGAGTGTCCGAAGTGCAAAGCATGCATCGTGATGTTTGGGGAACAGAATGCAAAGGCATGGATGCTAGGCACAGTGGGGACATAACATTATAAGAAATAAAATGCATGGCGTGATTTTGCACATTTAAAATAGCATGCGCCGGTACAACAAGCATGGGTCCGGAATTCATGGTAAAACTCATGCCCTAATTTCTCCTTCTACTCTGCACTTTCTTTGCATTAAATGCATGCATGCATTCTCCTGCGCATTATGATTTTTCTGTGTTTTTAAAAAAATGCATTCAGCGAGGACGCAGACGGTGGTGTTTTAAGTGAACTGCGCGCGGTGCATGTGTGCGTGCGTTCGCGTTCAGAGCGCGCGCGCAGATGCACCGAGTCTCGCGCGCGCCATTTTAACGCGTCTCCGGCAAGATGGGGCTCTCGCTTTGTCTGCCCTGATCGGCATAAAGCACTATTTACTTTCATTACACGCATGAAAATTTACCGGATCGAATGAAAAAACAGCTTTTCCTCGCGGTGCCAAACCGGTGACATCTCAAAGACCCGCGCGTGAGATGAGCACGGAGATCTTAAGGTAGGTGTAAAGGGATGTAGCGTTAGCCGGGTAATGCAATGCATGCGTCTGTGCGCTCCACATCCATGCTTTAGTACTGCAAATAGTTAGGGGGCGTCATAATCATGGTTTATGGGGATTGATATCCTAATGAAGTGCCTTATTTGCGTTATTCACCCTATCGTGCGTCTCCAGCAGCTGTAGATGCATTGGTCAAATGCTAGAACTAGGCCTTTCTCCACCAAATGTTTAGCACTTCATTAAAATATGCGTTTTAGCCTAGAATTCTGTAGAATTAGTAGAATTGTTGTGTCTCTCTGGTGTTTTCCTGTTTGGATCGTCGTTGCACGCATTTATGCGTATTGCGTTTTTCTGTACTTTACTTTTCTGCTCATCACTCTCGACTTTGGAGATGAGTTTTCAGGACTGCGGTCAAGCCAGCCGCGCTTTGAAAATGCACGGTCAAGCCAGCCGCATTTTTTTTTTGTCTTGCGCGTGTAGTTGTGTACTTACGGTACGGGTGCTGAGAGCAGTCAAAATGCATGTAAAGAAGCCAGGGGACGCGTTTTATAACTCATAAAACTGTTTAAGGTATTGTCGTTTGTTATCGTCGTATTACGACGTATCTCTATAGATTTATAGACCATAGTAAACCGTCTCGTAGTGTCTGGCACAATAGCTTGGTGTTAGCCTCCACTCTTACGTACTGCTTTTGTGTAATAATAAAATAAATGTTTTGAAAGCTTCTTACACTGAGTTAGCATATCAAGGTCGGCTTTGCGGTAACAATAGCAGCGCTATCTGTGGTCAGGTTTGTTGTTGATATCTCTGTATCCGCGTGTTGCGTTTCTTTCAGGTCTAGTAAATTGAATACATTGGTGACCAAACTTCATGAGTTTTTGGGTCATTCTCCAGACGAAGAAAGCATTAATTCTCCAGACATTTCCAATGGTGAGGATCCCTACTGTCAGCCCAACAGACTGGGCCCAGAAATTCAGCTTTTCAAAGGCTAAATATAGTAAATAAGGCTAAAAATTTGTATCTATGTATAAATTGACGTATTTTAGACAAATATACAATGTTTTCTTAATTGTAAATGTGTATGCTTTTCTCATATTACAGGTAAAATGGCTGCTAGTGACTTAAACAGCCCTGATGAGAGAATGAATGAGGTTTGTCTACAGAGTCTGGTTTTGCTTTTTATCTCTAACAGTTTACTATAACACTGTGTCCTATCCGGTTACAGCATAAGGTCATTTTTCTGTACTTCTGTACTTGAATGTGCACTTCAAAGTTCAATTTGAGATGGACTAGAGCAATAGTTAGTCTTTTTAAAATGACATGCAAGGCTTTTGTCTGACTCTGATTGTACTTGTGCAGTTTTTGCAAAGTCTCACTCAAATCTTAGATAAGGTCCCGTTTTATCGTTGAGATGAGTGCACATAAAGAGCACCGCAATTAGGATTGAGGCAGATTTGTTAAAGGGGTCATATGATGCTGCTAAAAAGAACATTTATGTTGTGTATTTGGTGTAATGAAATGTGTTTATGCGGTTTAAGGATTAAAAAAACACATTATTTTCCACATACTGTACATTATTGTTTCTGCTCTATGCCCCGCCTTTCTGAAACGTTTCGATTTTTACAAAGCTCATCGGTCTGAAAAGCGAGGTGTGCTGTGATTGGCCAGCTATCCAGTGCGTTGTGATTGGCCGAATACCTCAAGCGTGAGACGGAAATGATACGCCCCTCACCATACTGTGATGATGCCCTGTCCGGCCGGAGCGATGTGCTAAGTGACAGTGACTTAGCGTCGGCGCCGGTTCAAGTCGTACTAAATTCCTAACCGACATGCACTGCTTCAAGTCAGCCGCCGATCGGTTTGCGCGGCGCCGCATGAAGTCGAGCGCACCTATTCTCTTTGGATTTGAGACTTTAGTCTTTGCAACTTTACAGATCTTCGTTAAAGGAAAACTTGAAATCGCATCATATGACCCCTTTAAAGGATGACGATAAAGCTTGTCATTTAGCAGCATGCTTTACGGGGAAAATAAAGAAGCAGCTTTTGCCATCGTTCTCTGTCATAGTGCGAGAATGATATAGTGCATGCATAAAGCATCAATTACCCGACTCATGTTCATGCTTTGATTTTCAGTTTGTTGGACTGGTGCTTCAAAAGCTTCTTCAGGAAGTTTATAAAAGACAAGGAGATTAAATTGATACCCAGCACATCCATTTTATTCCATAACCTGAAAGCTTATCACACCGATAATTATCATTTCTATATTTGGGTTAAAATATTCAGGTAGGTGGACCAGTTTTTTTTTTTTTTTTTTTTGCTAAAATTATGTTTCTGTGGACATTGTGCTCGATTTAGGCCCTTTTATGCCAAACTACTATAAGACTAATGTTGCGGGTTGAGCTGGTAATATATGGATATTTTATCACTGAAAATGAAATGTTTTTTTTTTTTCATTTCTTCAGCCTGGTTGCTCCTCAGAAATGACCAAACCCTCATCTTCACGCTCAAAGAGGTGAGTTGGGTTGAAGTTGTTGTCGAAGCTCTGGCTCTTGTTCAGTAAATATCTGGACTAAACGGTATGCCTTGTATTTTGTCTTATGCTGCGTTCCATTCAAAATCAGAAGTGTGATATTCCCTATTTGACAGAATTATGACCTTTTAATATTCTGTTGGCCAGCGCTTGGAAGATAACAGAAAGTTTTGCACAACTATCTCTGCAGACTGTTTCAAAATGGGTTTTGTAACTTGTCACAGTATGAACTTTGCCTTGTTTCTGCATTATGCATTCAATTGCTTTTATGAATGTTTCATAATTGTATTGCGTGTGCATCTCCTTAGGTGTTGTCGTACCTTAATCTTACAGGTTTTGGATTTCCACACAAGTCTTAAGTGTTTTTGCTATTGCACTTTTTTTCCAGAAAGGAAGTCGGCAATTCTGACTTCCTGAATTTGAAAGCAACACAGCATGAGTCATAGACTTTGTTGCACTGATGTGTACTGTTTTATACAAATCCAAATGGAGATGTGTTGAGAGTTAAACGGCAACAGTCTGTGAAACAAATTCTGCCATTTCGTCCAGACATGTTGGTGTTGTATTTCTCTCTCCCAGCTGCTGTGGTTGCTTGTAGTTATGTATGCATTACTCTTTTGAAACTATTGAGATGATGCTGTAGTTTTGCACACGGTTCTTTGGAGTGTTGGTTGTCGTGGGAATGGAATGTTGGAATTTAGAGTTTGAGAGTGTTTGGGTCGGAAGGGGATATTTTGATCATGTTTATTGGAACAACCTGTTGACCCCTTTCCCCCTCTGTTGTTAATGAAAGAAAACCTTCATTTGTGACCAAGCACACTGTCGTTGATGAATCGGAATGTGCAAACGAGAGTGGAGGTGAACGCGGCACAGATGACAGCATGCAGAGCAGTCTGGATATCAGCAAGCTGCCACAAGGTTAGCACTCTGTTAGGATGTTTTAAAGTCTGATGAAGCGTGTGGGTTAAGAGGCGCACTGAATCTCCTGGCTTCACGATTCGCAGGCACAGTGGTGGTCAAGCCAGAACCGGTTGCTAACGAAGCTAAAGATGAATTCCGCGGTCCGGAGTTCCGTAACAGAGGAAGTAAAGTGAAAGAGGACGGCACTCGGAAACGTCCCGGTGAGTAAGCTCGTGTACTGTAAATGATCCCATGCCCCATTAAAAGGTATAGAATTAGTCTAGTTATGTGTTTGGTTATCTCAAATAATCACCATTAGGTCAAATACTGTTTGTTTTTTTGTTCTTACTTTATTTACATTTTTCCATATAAACAAAATACAGCATACAATTGCAAAACATATACACTACTGGTCAAAAGTTTGGGGTTAGAATGATTTTTAATGTTTTTTACAGGAGTTTCTTAAGCTCATAAAGGCTGCATTTATTTGATCAAACATACAGGAAAAAATGTAATATTGTAAAATATTATTATGATGTAAAACAAAGTTTTTCTATTTTAATCTACATTAAAATCTAATTTATTCCTGTGATGCAAAGCTGTATTTTCAGCATCATTACTCCAGTCTTCAGTGTCACATGATCTTCAGAAATCAGTCTAATATACAGATTTATTATCAGTGCTGGAAACTGTTGCGCTGCTTCATATTTTTTTGGAACCCGTGATACTTTTTTTCAGGATTCTTTGATGAATAAAAAGCTAAAAAGAAGAGCATTTATTTAAAATAGAAATCTTTTCTAACAATATACACTACAGTTCAAAAGTTTGGTGTCAGTACATTTTTATTCTTTCTTTTTTTGAAATAAATTAAAACGTTTATTCAGCAAGGATGTGTTAGATTGATAAGTGATAGCAAAGATTTATATTGCTAGAAAATATTTATATTTTGAATAAATGCTGTTCTTTTTAACTTTTTATTCATCAAATAATCCTGAAAAAAGTATCGCAGTTTCCAAAAAAATATTTGGCAGCACAACTGTTGCCAACATTGATAATTATAATAATAAATCAGCATATTAGAATGATTTCTGAAGGATCATGTGACACTTTATACTGGAGTAATAGTTGATAGAAATTCAGCTTTGATCACAGAAATAAATAATATTTTAAAGTATATTAAAATAGAAACCATTATTTTATATTGTAATAACATTTTGCAAGATTACTGGTTTTTTTCTTTTTTTTTTTTATCAAATAAATGCAGCCTTGATGAGCAGAAGAGACTTCTTTAAAAAAACATTACAAGTCTTACTGATCCCAAACTTTTGACCAGTAGTGTACATATACTTGTATGACCTCCATGTATATCTCTAGTTAATAAAAGGGTTTATTTGACAAATAGCAACAGAACAAAGTGTATAGTGAAGAAAGAAAAAGAGCTTAGAAAGCATTTCGCATAATGTAAGAATAAAAAGGGAGGAGAACATAAATGATCAATATTGGTACCTATGATATACAACAAAACAACAACCGTAAATAATAATAATAAAAAATAAAAAAAACGCCTACACAAATTAAAATCACAGGTGCAAAAAGATGCTAAACCTTCTTAACACAACTGACGTATCCCTAAAGTATAACACTAGTCTATATACTGGGGGAGGGAAGGAGATGTATACTTAGGTGATTGAGGGTCTTTCAATTTCCTACACAATCTGGGAAGGGTCCCCAAATTTAATAGAAATTATCAGAAGATCCCGTCATTGTGTGTCTGATTTTTTTCTAGTTTAATGAAATGGAAAATATGTTGAATCCATAAAGAATGAGTAGGAGGTACAGGCGATTTCCAGTTAAACATCTTGCCAAAAGTGTGACAAAGGCTACAAAATCAGACTTATATTTGGGCATAGCAAGAGACGGGGGGAGGGTACCAAATAAAGCTGTGAAAGCCAGAGGCTTATTTGATGTTTGAGAACTTCAGATAATGTTTTAAAGATCTGGGACCAATATTTCTGTAGAGATGGACAGGACCAAAACATGTGCGCAGTAGTTGCATGGGCCTGATGACAACAGTCACATGTGGGATATATATTTTTGAAAGTCTAACTTTGGTCCAGAGGGTGCGGTGAAGAATTTTACACTGAATCAGACCCATGTCTGGCACAAAAGGATGAAGAGTGCACTCGGCGTAGGATCTCTTCCCACTGTTCCTCTGGAATATTTTCTCCTGTGTTCTCCTCCCACTGAGATTTAATAGATGTAAGTGGGCAGGTCAAATACTGTTTTTATCACGGTTTTAGACAAAAACTGTCCTGACATATGTCCAAAAGGCACATCTAGTCTAACAGACCTGATTACACTGACCTGATCATCAGTCGACAGAGCTGGGTAACATAATCAGGTTCCAAACATTATGTACTAGAAATTAGATTATATTACAATTTAAAATATTCATAATCAGACTACAGTTACTTATTTATTTATCGTTTTATTTTGATTGTTGTCATTTTAAAAAGTTTTAAATATTAAAGTAAAATATTTTTAGTATTTAATTAATTAATTAATTACCCCTGCATTTCTTTCATGAACCCCAGTTTGGGAAACTTTGACGTAATTTGTGACCCTGGACGACAAAACCAATAAGGGTCAATTTCTTGAAATTGAGATTTATACATCACCTGAATAAATAAGCTTTCCATTGATGTATGGATTGTTAGGATAGGACAATATTTGGCTGAGATACAACTATTTGAAAATCTGGAATCTGAGAGTGCAAAATCTGGTGCAAAAAAATCTAAATAAAATAAAGAGAAAAAAAACGCCTTTAAAGTTGTCCAAATGAAGTTCTTAGCAATGCATGTTACTAATCAAAAATTAAGTTTTGATATATTTACGGTAGGCAATTTACAAACAGCCAAAAATGGGGTTTGGCGAGTTTTAATTACAGTAATTTGATCGCGAAAAAAGGTTGACCGTGCTGTTACAATGCACGTTAAAGGGTTAATGCACTTCATGTTGTTAATAACAACGAATGGAATATATTTTCTTTCGCTTAGTTTTTTTCTATGTCAATATTGTATAAGATTATACTATTTAAATCAATGTGATAAACCAGTTAGGTCAAAAGTAATCAAAATCAGTCTGATTATATTACCTGAAATGTGCAATGTAATGGATTACGTTACTAACTATAATTTTTGTCGTGTAATTTAGAATCAGTAACAGACTACAATTTGTAAGTAATCTACCCAGCACTGTCAGTCGAGTGCTCATGAAGTAAACTGGGTGTTTCAAGTGTTGAGGCTGAAACTGCTCAAATATTAAAGAGTCTTAGCATTGCAGTATGATTGTTTTATTATCTTCTTTTATATTTTAATCTCTCACAGACGAGCAGCTCCAGGAGATTTTTAATTGCACAGCATGTGGACAGCAAGTCAATCATTTTCAGAAGGATTCGATCTTTCAGCATCCTGCACTACATGTTCTTATCTGCAAGGTAGAAACCAGATTAACTTGTTACAGCCAATTACGTGCTTGTATCTCGGTCATTAACATGCATGCCTTTTTCTTACAGTCATGTTTCAGATATTATATGAGTGACGATATCAGCAAGGATGAAGAAGGAATGGATGAGCAATGCAGGTTGGTGCAGAACATTTATTTATTTATAACACTACAGCTGTGACGATACCAACTAGGGATGTAGCGATAAAAATATGTGGCTATTAAAAACCAAACAAATACAAATTGAACAATCGTTTGGTCACCTAAGCATCCATACATAAGCTATACTGATAATCACACAGTGGTCAATACACATGAAGTTCCTTTTTTTTTTCCCAGTATTGCAAATATTTTTCCATCCCTGGATTTGATGAAAAAGTAATTCTCTCCATGTTTTCAACACTGGTCAGAAGTCTTTGTTTGTGCTGTAGCCATTGTCATATTACAGTTTTTTATTTTATTTTATGGCTACTAATACTATTTATCCCAAATGTTGAAAAAGAGCAGTCAATTCCATCACCAAAAAAATATCATTGCTTAAAGTTTTCATGCAATTGTTCAAGTAAACAGTCAGTAATATAATAAAGAAATAAATTGCAAGTAATCAAACAAATAAAAACAGCAGAACAAAGATAAAGATTAGGTATATAATGTTTTCAGGTTTATAACTGTAGTATCAAGTTAACAATCAGAAATTTGACACACACACACACACACACACACACAAAAAAACAAAACGATGAAATGGCTGTGTTCACTGCACTTACTCAAACACTGGCTGTCATGACTTTAGTGTCTGTACTTTTTGTAATTTTGCTCTCTTTGCACATTTTTTTTCTGTGAAATAGTATTATTATATATTATCTATTAGCTTGAAATTCCTGGTAGTTTTTTTAAGTCCTTGGACAACACAATTCCATTTTTACCCAAATGAATTTAATGATGGGATGTTGTTTTTTTCTCTTTCAGGTGGTGTGCAGAGGGTGGTAATCTGATTTGCTGTGACTACTGCAGCAATGCCTTCTGCAAAAAATGCATTTTGAGGAACCTTGGACGAAAAGAGCTGTCTGAAATCATGAATGAAGAAAGCAAATGGCACTGCTATGTGTGCCGTCCAGAGCCGCTGCAGGACTTTGTTAAAACCTGTGAGAAAGTTTTGCTCAATCTGGAATCGTCTCGCAGAAAGCCCAAGGGAGACGGTGACAAGACGAAGCGTGAAGATCGTAAACACAAGCATAGCAAACGAGAAAAAACTGCTGTAAATGGACAGGATTATGCCTCCGACGGAGCGGGGACGTTATCCTTTTCCTGTAAGACGTTGACGGTTCCGAAAGAGCTTGTCAAGAAGACCAAAAAAATAATCGAGACCACAAACGGTTTGAATCGTACTTTTGTACAATTCCTTCAGCACACGTCAAAAGGCCGTGAAGTTAGTGCAGTAAGTAATAGACACTTAAAGGCCTTCAAATCGGTTTTGGCTGATCTGAAAAAGGCCCACGTGGCTCTGGAGAAATCACTTGAAAAAGAATTTGAATCGAAAGGCCTCAAGTTTCAAAACGGAGAGGAGCAAAGACCGGTGCACAGTCAAACTGCAGATCATACCGTTGTTAACTCACACCACGCTGACCCTGCTCCTGTCACAGAAGATGGTTTGGATTGCACCGCCAAGGACCAAGATGAAAACCAGCAGGAAAGTAACTCAGCTGATGTTGAAATGAAGGAGAGCCTTCCACCCTCTCCAGAAAAAACTTGGGACCAGTCTGAAGAAAGTGAAGCTAAAGAGCATGAAATGGCAGATAACCCTGACTTTGAGGAAAACTCCGTGCCAGCAGGTGAAGCGTCTCTTGATAAAGACATCGTGTCTATTCCACCGTTTGTCCCAGAGGAGCTCTTTGAGATGGTCGAGAGTCTTGCAGTAAAGAAAGAAGACCGTGACGATAGCAACTCGACTGGTTCCAGTGATTGGAAATCAACGTCCAACGCTGAGGTTGTGAAATCCAATAAGAGCCTGACAAAACTGGGTAGAAAACTTGTTGTCAAACTAACACCTGTTCCTCTTAAAATTACCATAAAACGAGATAAGAGCAAAGAACAGTCGCCTTCAGAAGACATGGATTGTGACACATTGCCAAAGGAGGCTCAAGATAGCAGACGCTCCCCCAGGATGAAGACCACACCCCTACGCAAGTCACCGGAGGTGAAGAGCAAACGTAAACCAAGGTCGTCAATGGCTAAAGAAGAGCGCAGCGACGCAGTCAAGGAGCAGTGCGATTCAGACTCGGATGAAGTCCCTGAGGTCCTGCAGACGGCTGCCTTGAAGGCCAGCTCTGAGAGCGAACCCGAGAACGCTTCTGGAAAAGGTACCAAGAAGAAGAAGTTAGCTTCCCGCTCTGCTGAGAAAGCAAAAGCGAAGCCAAAGCGTAAACTCGATATGGCCTCCTCAGATTCAGAACGGTCATCAACAGCAAAGAAAAGGAGCTCCAAAAAAAAGAAGGGCAGAGAATCTGACTCCTCAAACCACAACTCTGATCTTGAGAAGCAGATGAAAAGCCTGTCCAAGGTCGGCAGTCGGAAAAAAACATCCAAAGGTGTCAAAAAGGAAGAGAATGAGTCCAGTAAAGATGGCAAGAAAGGCCCTAAAAGGTCATTTGAGAGGAAACGAAGGTCACAGAAAGAAAAGCCTAAAACCAAGGAAGAGTTTTCCTCCAGTGATGAAGAGCAGGAGGAGGAGGAGCAGGCCGTTAACTCCGAGGAAGACAGCGATCAGCAGAAGATTAAACCAATACTTGAGTCTGTGATGGCTAGTATTGATGGTTTCCATCAGTCATCAGGTCAGTTGACAAAATGGTTCAATTAATCTACATTGTATGACAGAAGTATTAGCTGCATATTGCTCATTGATTTCAAATTAGGGAAAAGAATAATTGCTGTTATCATTGTTTTTGACCCATGTTATCTTTTATTCTAATAAGCTTATATGACGCCAAATTTACAATTCTCAATTCTAATATTGATACCACAGCAAAAACTACAAGCCTAACAAATATAGCCTAAAGTTTAAACATTATTAAAGACAAGTGAACAGTGCGTAAATGAGAACAAATGAACAAATTACAAGCAATAGCACAACTGAATCTAAATAACAAAGATAGAAATGATTAAATAGGACGCTTTAGGAAAAGCTGCAGATGGGCTGAATGAGACGCAGATTCACTTTCTGACAGCAGGTGGCGCTCATGGAACAGCAGATACAGTGTTTCCTTGGTTACCGCTGTAAACAAAGCAGTGCTACATTAAAGGGGTCATATGATGCCCAATACCACGACTGAGGTGCCCTTGAGCAAGGCACCGAACCCCCAACTGCTCCCCGGGCGCCGCAGCAAAAAAATGGCTGCCCACTGCTCCGGGTGTGTGTTCACGGTGTGTGTGTGTTCACTGCTGTGTGTGTGCATGGATGGGATAAATGCAGAGCACTAATTCCAAGTATGGGTCACCATATATTCTTTGGTTTTTCTCATTGTGATGGATGATTAAGGGAATTTGGCCTTTTTTTCCCCTCCTATTTATATTCCTGTGAAACAGGAAGCCATGGCTGGATAATTTTTTATGTTCATAATCACCCTGGTATGCTCAAAATTGTAAATATGAATGGGAATATACTTTACAGATATTTTATTCATTAGAATTTCTAGGGGTACCAATAATTGTGTCCAATGTACAAACATTTATGTCATAATGATATTTCCCCCCATTTTAAATTCTTATTCTCCAATGAAAGGTTAGATTTATGTGAATTTTTTAAAATAAAAGATCAAAATGATTAACAATGCAGATTTATTTTCACAGCCTTCTTTGATCATATTTACCAAGGGTGCCAATAATTCTGACCATGACTGTATTTGTCTGTTCAAGTGCAAGAAGATGCGCAAAGAAACTATTCTGGGCTCTTGCGTTGTTGGAGATGCGTCTCTCTGATGTAAATGATCAACTTTCGTGAGGATGCAGCAGTGGCCCGATCGGACCAGTGACAAATTCGTCAACTGTCCCGAGTGTCTTTCACGCTGGCCCCGGGCTTAATTAGTCCTTATTTTCGAGCCTTGTAAATGAACCACTATCCCCATTAAATGCTGCCTTTGATCTTGAACAACATTTCCTGTCTGGCGATTTTTTTTTTTTTAACAGCCTGCCAAAATGAGCAT